CAAATTATTTGGTGGGGAGGGGGGGACCTGGATATGGGATGGGGGCCGCTGGCCCGAAAAAGGTTGAGAAACACTGGATCAGAGCATCTCCCCTTGCTGGAGTCAGGCTGTAGCTGCAGCTTCCTGTCCTGCAGGTGGAGCAGCAGGTGCAGCAGCGTGTCGCCGCCCTGCAGGCAGAGGCCGAGCTGCTGCGCTGCCAGCTGCTGGCTGCCACCCAGGAAAAGCTGGGCCACGCCCAGGAAGTGACGGAGCTCCACAAGAAGCTGAGGGAGGCGCTCAGTAAGGTGAGCTCAGCTGCAGCCGTCATGTTTGACCCAGTTCTGATTGGTTCTGACCCGGTTCTGATTGGTTCTGTTGGCTGCAGGTGGAGGAGCAGCAGGCGGAGGCCCGGAGGTTGATGGAGGAGAAGACGGAGCTCCAGCAGAACCTGCAGACCCACAGACTCACAGTCCAGAACCAGGAGCTACAGCAGCAGGTACCAGGAGTCGGGGCTTCACAATTAACCAACAGAACTTGTAGAACCGAGCCCAGACTGGACCCATGATGATGTGATTGGTTCTGTTTGGGTCCAGAACCTGAACCAGGACCAGCAGAACCTGAAGTCCAGACTGGACCAGGCGGAGACGGCGCGGACACAGGCAGAGGAGCAGGTCAGAACTGGACCAGAACCAGATAGACAGCGCAGGGAGAACAGTTATCCATCAGCATGAGGTCAGGAGACGGTGAATCCTCAGAGTGAGGCTAACGGTCTGAGCTAACAGTCAGGCTAACGGTCTGAGCTAACAGTCAGGCTAACTGTCTGAGCTAACAGTCAGGCTAACGGTCTGAGCTAACAGTTAGGCTAACGGTCTGACCTAACAGTCAGGCTAACAGTCAGGCTAACGGTCTGAGCTAACAGTCAGGCTAACGGTCTGAGCTAACAGTCAGGCTAACGGTCTGACCTAACAGTCAGGCTAACGGTCAGGCTAACGGTCTGAGCTAACAGTCAGGCTAACGGTCTGAGCTAACAGTCAGGCTAACGGTCTGAGCTAACAGTCAGGCTAACGGTCTGAGCTAACAGTCAGGCTAACAGTCAGGCTAACGGTCTGAGCTAACAGTCAGGCTAACGGTCTGAGCTAACAGTCAGGCTAACGGTCAGGCTAACGGTCTGACCTAACAGTTAGGCTAACAGTCTGAGCTAACACTGTTGGAGTCAACATGACCATAAAGTTCATGATGATCTGATCAACACTGACTGATAATCGGATAAAAGACCATCTAAATTTCAATCTAAACAACAAGCTAAAGAGACTTTAGAGCTGCAGCTGCTGCTCCACCTCACCTGGAGCAGTAGAACCGAGTCAGAACCGGGTCAGAACCTGTGTGTGTGTTTGCAGGTGCAGCGGGCAGATGCGGCGCTAGGCATGGCCAAGGCACAGCAGCTGCAGCAGCTGCAGGAGCATGCAGGCAGCAGGCAGCAGCTGCAGGCGGAGCTGCAGGCGGAGCGGGGGCGGAGCCAGCAGCGACAGGCACAGCTGGAGCTGCAGCTGCAGCAGAGCAGATCCCAGGCCACCCTGAAGCAGGTGGGTTCAGAACCAGATCTGGCCTGGCCGCACAGGTTCTGGTTCTGACTGCTGCCTCTATGCTGCCTTCAGGAACAGTTCGACAGAGCGGCAGCGGCGCTGCAGCAACGGGCCGCCGGCCTGGAGGCGCAGCTGAAAGCGCTGCGCGTCGTGCTGCAGGACAACGTGCAGCAGCTGAAGGAGCAGGTGAGTCTGTGGTTCTGCTGGCAGCGACCCACCAGCCCATTCTGACCTCTGGTTCCGTCCAGATGGAGCGGAGCAACAAGACGAGCGGCGTGTTGAAGGACCTGCACCTGCAGAATGCGCAGTTGCTGGCGGCGCTGCAGGTCACAGAGCTGCGGCAGAAACAGGCAGAGAAGAAGAACAGCCAGCTGGAGGACAAGGTCACAGCGCTGGGGGCGCTGCTGAGGGAGGTGGTGGCCGCTGCCATGACCTCCAGCTGACCTCTAGCTGGGAGCCGACAACCTTCAGCAAGGATCGTCCAATCAGAGCTGAGGATCGTCCAATCAGAGCTCACCTTCTGGTGTTTTTATCTGCTCTGGTTCCATTCAGACATTGAAGCTGATTTTACTGTAAATGGAGGGTTTTTTATTTGTTTATATTTTCTTCTGATTTTTTTTTCTGTCTGAAATGATTCAGCTTTAAGGGGAATTTTATAGAAAAACTGAGTTCTAATAAACTTTTTTAATATCATTTTTGTGAAATATTTTAAACTTGATAAAATTTCTTTAAAAGTTTTGTAAACTGTCGGCTCAGTGTCACTGTGTGTGAACTGGTGGGCGTGGCCCTCAGGTACCACCAGGAATCTTGTGTCCCCTGACAAAAAATTAGATTGGCCCCCTGCAGCTGCTGTTACCATTTTTTGAGTCTGTTTACCCATAAAAAGCATCACAACTTTAAAGGCTGCATCTGCCTTGCTTTCTTTGGTTCAATACTGATAATTAGCACAATATTTACTGCTCATGAATTTAACATCCAACAGTCCACATCCAGTATGCAGGTAGGTTGCTTCAATTTTTTCTTAGTTTTAGATACTGGAATGTCTCTCTGCATGAGCAACAGTCAAATGCAACATGCAACTACACATACAGCAATCCAGACTTCTAAAAATGCTATGTAGTTGCATTGTATTCAAGCTGCAGTACATAACTAATAAAAAATGTTTTCTCCATATTTGGTAAAGCTGTCACCAGTTTAACAATTTTAGTTTGTGCCAGTTTGAGTCAGATAATCTGAACACAATCAATCTCCTCCATCTCCTTCCTGAATTACTGGTTAAAGTAATGCACCGTCCTGACCAAAACAACCAATCAGCATTTAATTTATACTGCTAAAATCAATTTTAGTAAACACAATATAATGAATTTTGTAAATGATAGGACCCCATTTTTCTTTTAATTACTATGAACAAAAACAGAGTTGTGTAGGGCCCCCTGTTGGTAATGGGCCCTTGGAATTGTCATAACTTTCCCCCCTATACTGCGTCCCTGGCATGGCCTCCCCACCTGGACAGGTACTAGGTTTTTACCTCAGAGTGAGACCTCCTGTTCTGGGTTAAAATGAGGCACTGATGTTCGCCTGGATCTGTGAAATCTGCCCGGCAACAGACTTAACTCTCAGTGACGACACAAAGGAAAGAAAAAAACAGCTTTATTTGTAAAAAAGCAAACATGGCAGCCGAGACACCGTCTGTCTCCTGGACGTTATGACATCACATGCTCCAGAACGCCCTGGCGAATCAGCTGCTCACATTTCCAACGTGGCAGGAAGTGCTGTGAACAAAAACCACTTCCTGTCAGGATGAGTCAGAACATGGGCCACCTGTTCACTTCCTGTCTCAGCTGGAAGCAGCTGCACTCCCCATACTCCCAGTTACATCCCATTAAAGCACCAGCAGGACCGTTGTCATAGCAACTGTCGTGCTTCTCTCATCACTAACATGGGGTCTGTTCTCACCTGGCTGTTCTTCTTCAGCAGGATCACCGTTCCGTCGTCGATCTCAAACTCACCATGGTCCTTCAGGCACCTGACCTGGAAATGCACAGGGAGGTCAGTGGGGCCAGGCTGCAGGTCAGAGGTCAGAGGTCAGACTCACCTGGATGTAGAGGCTCTTTGGAGGCTTCATGTCCTGCGTGACGTCCAGTCCCTCCTGTCCTCCAATGGACCGCATGAAGGAGGCCAGGGACTTTTTATACTGGCCAAACCACTGCACCTGAACACACCATGCACACAGGTGCTCTCAGTCTTCAGGTGAGCCAGCAGAAACCCCCAACAGGAAGTGATGTCACTGACCTCCTCTGCAGACATGTGGAAGCGGACGCTGGCGGGCAGAACGCTGCCATACTCCCAGCGCAGTGCGCGGATCCTCAGCAGACGGTCGTACCTGCAAACAGCAGGTCAAAGGTCAGCATCAGAGGTCACAAGACCTGGACCGGCAGGTCACATGACTGGGTGGAGTTACAGGTAGGCCACGACGCAGCGCTGGTTCCTCAGCAGGCAGCAGTGGCGTAGCTTGATGGAGGGGATGAGGTCACCGCGGCCGGCGGCCTTCGCCTCCGACCTGCAGAAGACGGAGAGGTCAGGAGGTCAGACGGAGCGCAACCGGTTTTGGTACCAGAGAAACCGGTTCTGGACCGGTACCAGGGAATGGTTCCCTTAAAGGGCCAGCATTATGTTTTATAGCACAATCGGTAACTGTGTCGCCCTCTGCTGTTATAAAATTGCTGTTTATATCAAATATGACCTAAAAGGAATTTGACTTCCTGTTTTTACGCCTTTTAGCCCTTTAACGTTTTTACCAGCGTCTCTCTGAGCAGCAGCTCCTGTAATGAGCTCAGCTGCTGTTTGCTAATGGCTGCTGGCTAGTCTGAAGTAGCTGAGTGGGGGAGGAGCTGTGTCCTTGAAGGCGGGGCAAGGTCCACCCAGACATTTTGACAGTTGAATGGTTGCCATGGAGACTAATTGATTTCTCATGAAACACTGCAGGTTTGTTTATGATGAGAGGATAACAGAACATGATGAGTTTACAGGATACTGGCCCTTTAACTCTGAGCTACGGGTCAGAGGTTGGGTCTGAAAACCATCTGAAGCCAACAGGAACTTAAACATAACAGAACCAGAACCAGCCTGGACCCTGTAGAACCGTGCAGTGGGTCAGTACTCACACATCAGCCTGGTTCTGTTCGTACAGAGCCTCCATCTCCTGCAGAACCTGCCGCAGTCCGTCCTCCTGGAACCAAGAACTCATTCCAATTAATCCATCGCAGCCATCATTTCTCTTTGTATTTATGAAACTGTTTCAATCAGGTGTTGGATCCGCCGTCTATTAACTAGAAATTTATTGAAAATGAACTTTCAGTTTAATTTTTTAGACACGATCACTCTTAAGCCGATAAACTTCTTAGCAGAGTTCCGCAGAATAATTTCAGTTAGAAATCTGATCTTGGGTATGTTGTGGTGGCGTAGGGGTTCAGCACAACCCACATTTGGAGGCCTCAGTCCTCGACGCGGCCGTCGCAGGTTCGATTCCCGACCCGGTGACCTTTGCCGCATGTCTTACCTTTCTCTCATTACCCTCTTTTCTGTCAATTCACTATGAAATAAAGGCCACTAGAGCCTTTATTTTACATAAATAAATCTGATATTAAAAAACTTTACCGTGTTCCTGTGATCCGAAATGTTAAGTAAGAGATTATTTTTGATAACATTACTATTATATCTGTGGTTTCCAGTTTTCAGCTTAAAGCAGCGGTCAAACCTTAAACCAGAACGTTTCTGGGCGGAGTTCCAGCTGCTGGATCCCACCCGGGATACTCACGTTGAAAGCGGGCAGCTGGCCGTCGCTCACCCGGTGCAGCTCCCGGATCAGCTCGATGGCTTTCTCACAGAACATCCTGGAGCTCAGAACCGGGACTGACTGACTCGGAGAGCCGAGAAGCAGCTTCGCGGTAAAATTCTTTGTTGTGGTCACATGACTCGGTGACGTAATTCTCCGGAAGCCGCGGAGGGACAAAGAAGCAGCTCCAGCGGCGATGTGGTGAAACAGGCCAGTTACATTTACCGGGTAGGATTCCTCATTTATTGACGATTTATCGGTGATTTATTGATGATTTATGGACGTTTTGTTGTTGTTGCTGATGTTTCTCTATGAAAACAATCAGTTTAGCTCCAAGATCAATCACTTCACCTGCGTCAGTACTTCCCGTTCACGGCAGCGTTAAAACCAATTCAAATTAGATCAAATCTTTTTTCAGTTCATTAATTAAACCTCGTTCAGCCTGAGGTTCGGCCGAACCCAACAGAACCAACCGGTTTGAGGTTCGTTATGAACGTTTTACTGGTCCGTCACGTGATCACCTGAGCCCTGTTTCAGGAAGCGGGTCAACAAAGTGAGTGAACCCACCTGTGAACCAGGTGTGATTCACCATGGCAACTGGAGGAAATGTGAAGCCCAAACAAAACAATTAGAAATGTTACTGAAGAAAATCAAAACATGTGAAACAATAAAAGCCACAAAGTTACAGTCTTAAAACTGAGACATCAATTTTATTTGATTCAACAAATCAGATCAAATCTCGGTGGACAACCTGCCCTGCACCTGGACAGGTGTGGGAGAGCCTGATTGGTCAGCTTTATGGTGGCGAGCAGCTGTTCTTTGAGCTCTGAACACTGGGGGGAGCTGCTGAGTCAGCCTGGAGACTGCAGCTCTCAAGGTCAAAGTTCAGCGGACTGTCCACCCCAGCTGATCTCCTGTTGACCCGGAGGAGCTCTGGGTGATGAACAGGTTTTATTTTACTTCCTGCTTTATCAGCGTCAAGTCGAGATTTAATCATATTTACATTACAACATACTTTTAATCTGAAAACCTACCTGCTGTATTTACAGCCTCAGAGATGCGTTCAGGGGCACACGGTTAAATAGAAACCTTCTGGCTGTTTCAGAATAACAGGAAGCGTCTGAGGAAGATCTGGAGTCACTTTGTTCTCTGAAGGTTTCATGAAGATTTTAACAGGAAATAAACTTTATAAAAACAGTTTAAATATTTCTGACGCAAACTGTTAAAACGCGTCATATATCATTTATTTATCTTCTTTATTAAATTACATTCATGTTTCATACCTTAATTTGTTTCAATGAGCGTTAAATTCACTACAATTTCCGAGTTGGGCATGAACGCAGCGCTGGTTATGTTTTGGAAGCCGTTGTTCCTACGCTTCCCCAGAGACCGTGGAGGCAGCACTGCTTTGACCATGTGGTCTGCAGTCTGCCTCCTGATTGGCTGCGACAGCTTCGGCACTGATCAGCTGTTCTCTGCGGATGTCAGTGCGGCTCCAGCGGGCGCTCTGTCTGACTCCCGCCGCCTCTCAGCACTCCCACGCCGGCCAGAACGAGGACTCTTCACCTCGGACCGGCCCCGCTTTTCGGTCACCTTCCCCCGGGTAACGAGCCGTCTCTCTGCCGCTTCCAGTGATGCGGAGGCGGAGCTCCCTGACCGCGGAGAAGGACAGCGACCCGGAGCTGAAGCAGCGACCCGGCAGAGCGGCGGCGCATCCGGCGACCCGAGGCCGACAGGGCCCGGGAGAGGAGCCGGGGATGGGGAAGAGACCGTTCAGGAGGTGGGCACCGGGGAAACAGGTGGGGGAG